CTGCAGAAACAAGATTTTCTTGCTTGAAAAAGATAACTAACTACACTACCTGAGAATAAGGACAGTGTCTTATCTTCTCAGTTCAGTTCAGTTCAACAAACATTTATTGAGTACCAGTCATTATGCTAACTGCAGGAGAAACAATGATGAATACTGACAACATAGCCCAGTTCCTCTTAAGAGTTTACACACCTGGCTGGGGAGACCTAATACAAATGGATAAGTAGTAAGCCCTGGTATTCGGTCCAATTCCAATTAAGAATATCAGAAAAGACCTCCTATAGGAGGTGCTGCCTGTCCTGAATTTTAAAGAATGAATTTGTCTGGTAAAGGGACATACCAAGCAGGAAGAAAATGTAAGAAAGGTATATGAGGCAGGAAATGGCGTAGTGCATGCATGGAGACTAGAAGTTTATGCTTATTGCAGGGTAAAGTAAAAACAAAGAAGGTAAGTGGAGAGCAGTGGTGGATAAGGAATTCACATGAGGCTGATGGGAGAGGTAGGATGCAGATCACAGAGGTCTTTGTAGACAACATTAAGGAAATTGGATTTCACCCTATGAGTGACAAGCTGCCTCTGAAGGTAGGCACATTGATTTAGTTATGTGAATGGGACAGTGGTGGCAGTGTTGATCTGAGAGGAAAAAATAAGATAGAAGCTATTGCAGCATTTCAGAAAATACAAGATAAGGGTTTATAAATGGTTTTAAGTAGCCAAGTAATAATGATGCTTTCCCCTTTTCCTCTAACAAATCACTGTAGAGCAACAAGCAAAACAAGAAAGAAAAGTGAAAACTCTATACTTTATGAAAATCTAACCCTGAAACACAATACGTATGGGAAGAAAGCCTCATATATTATATAGCAGATGGTTCTGACTTATAAGAAGAACCCACTCACAGAAAAACCATCTTGAGTCATGTAGAACCTCACTGAGAACCCAGAAGGATTTTTGTTAAGCTGAAGCAGAACCTTGAATGAAACTTCTATCACTTAAATGAAGTAGTAATTTCTCCTGGAAGTTTCTCAAGTAGTTTCTCCAGGAAGAGCTGACAGCATTAAAAAAAAAGTAATATTTTTAATAGCAGACAGAGAACAAACTATGCTTCCATGGAGCAAATGAAAAGTGTAACAACATTGTTACAATTAAAAATAACCTGTATGATGAGGAGATCACCTCTATAAGAGAAGAGTTTAAAGCAAAAATACAAGATCTCAGGGAAGATATACTGAGGCAACAAAAAGAGATAAAATATAAACTGTCAAAGTGCAGAAAAGACATTAAACAAAAGTAGGAAAACAAACAAACAAACAAACAAAAAGCTTGGACATTGTTAAATAATCATTCAAAGACAATATAAGTAAGACTGTTTTCATGCTATTTTGTTGAGCTTGTTTAGAAAGTTAAAAAAGGATTGGAGTTGTGGGGGGGGAAGATGCCTCTCTTTTCTTTTCCTGTCTATTGTATAGATCCTAGGTGATCTGAAGCAAGAGACTTAAAACAATGAAAGTGAAATAAAAAATATATATTTCAAGATGTAACAGAAATTCTTGAGAACTTAAAAATGAAGAAAAAATTGAATTTATTTAATGAAAAAAACCTTAAATCCCAGAGAAAAGAATCGGCAGAGTATGGTCAAGCACAAAGCATACACTAAATAAGTAACTTGCATTCAAATATTTTTAAAAGGACTTTAGGTATCAAAGTTAAAAAAGAAAAAAAAATGAACAAAAATCTATAAAAGAGAAAAATCTGAGACTGGCTTGACTCAATAAAATTCAAGAAGTTAATGGAGCAAAGTTCTCATGGAAAGAGAATAACACATACGTTTTATACCCTGAAAAATGATATTAAAAGCATAAAAGAAAATAGACAAACATATTTTCAACATTCAAACACTGGTCTTTTTTGAAGACATTAGTAAAAGACAAACTTCAGGCAACCAAGAAATAAATGGAAAAACTATAGTAAAAGGACTTCTGGGGACAGTTGATCACATCTACCTATAAAACTAAAGATAAAAAAAATGCAGGAATGATAGTTCAGAGCAGAATGTGCATCCCCTAAAATGATTTAGTTAACAAAAATTGAGTTTGGAAAGAGGGGATAGGGTGGAAGGTCATAAACACATCCCCCCCTTTTTTTCAGCAGTGCTTCATAAAATATTTAAGTCTAACAGAATTATACTTTAACGTAATATAACATAGTTAAGGCAAACACTAGGAAATAATGCAACTGTTTAAAATTGGTTGGTAGAAGAACTAAAAAGAAAAAAGAAAATAGAAATGCATGGAATTACACTAATTTTGTAATTGCACACAAGAGTAAACCTATAGATATTGTCTAGAAATAGAAGATTCAGTATATTATATAAAGTTCTATTCATAAGGCTAAGCAGTTAGAACAAAGACATACATATTCAAAATTATCAAAGAAACACACAAGAAAGCAAATAAGACAGACTGTATAATGAAGTTTTTAAAAAATGTAATCATAATTAAATGCTAAGCATATGCTGTCAGGACTAAGACATATGAGTCAAATCAATCAATGTAGATGGGCCCACTCACCTGTAAGAAGAAAAGAGCTAATTAAATACTGATGGCCAGCCAATTTATGTATGTTTACACTATGTATAGTTGTTTGCCTGTAACCCACTGGCATTCTTTCACTTCATTTCAATCTTAGCTTCTTGATAGTTGCGAATAATAGCATTTAATCTGCGTTTATTTGGTGGCTAATAAAATCCTATTTTTTTCCTCAAGTTCATTGGCCTTTTGCATTATTTTGGGAATTGTTAATCCATTGCTTCCCATCTCATTGGTAGTAAAATATAAAGTCCTTAAAACAGACTTCAAAGACCAGTGGGATCTAGCAGCCTCTGTTGCTCTGGTCTTATCTCAAAATTTTCTGGTAAGGGTTCATTTTCTGTTTTCTTCCCATCTCCCTGAACTTTAAATATCGAAGTACCTGAGGCCCAATCTTTGAATTGTTTCCCATTTCTAACTATACTTACTCCATTGGTGACTTCAATTTTGTGGTTTAAAATATCATCAATATGCTGACAACCTACCAATTTATAAACTCAGCTGTGACCTCCTTACCACCCCTGCTCCTGAACCCAACCTCAAATCTCTAACTGCCCACCCCACACCTCCATGCAGGGTTTGAGGGAGACAGGCCCTGACACACCTGGCTCTATGTTCCTCTCTGACTGTGCTGTCTTCTGCCACCTCTCCCTGGTTCACCACTCAATGAAGCCTTCCCACGTCATCCTAAATAAAATAACAATATCCTAATACTTCCAATATCAATAGTTTATGGTTTATTTTTATGCACAGCACTTGTCATCATCTAATACATTTTGTAGACACATACATAGAAAATAGTGAAGAATGGATAGAAAAATAGAAAGCAACTATCCATATAGCACCATGTTTCCAGGCATTGTGATAGTGCTTTACAGGTAGCATTAATAAATGTAATCCCCCCAGCAACCCATGAAGTGAGTGTTACAATTATCTTCTTTTTATAGATGAGTCAAGTGAGGCACAGCTCAAGGTCACACAGCCAGGTGTGTAAAGCCACAGTCTGAAAAAATGCTGGCAATTGGTTTCTGAAGTACATGTTCTTAACCATTATACTTCACAACTTTTCATAACTATGTATATATGGAGATATATATATATATATATATATATCACATACATTTTTTTTCCTGTATCCTACTAGAATTAAATGCTACTAAGGCAGACACTTCGTTGTATTCATTATCTTAACCCCAGAACCAAGGATAAGAGACTTTGCATGTAAAACTGTGTTGAATAATGTAACATCGTATATTTTGAAACAAAATGAAAACTGATGCCAATTAAAAAATAAATCTTCTGTCTGCTTTTAGTATAATAAAAAAATGTTTTAGAATATCTTTAAAAATATGGTCATCTGTCTGTAGAGTTAAAGAAAACTGTATACAATATAAGGAAAAATTTTAAAAATTCTGAACATTTTAGATGTTAAGTCATGTTTCCTAGAAGCAATTCTGCTGCTACATCCATATTATATACAGTAATAGCATTAAGGTAAGGACAATCAGATTGGTAAATTCATAAATCACCCCTGTGCTTATACTTAAAAAAAACAAAAACAAAAACTTAAATAGACAGAAATTAATAAAAGCCTTAGATGGGGACCCTAACAATGGGAATGGAATCAAAGGAAACACTGAAGAAATTACTAAACATGATATTAGCAGAGGTTGTGGACTCATTTAATTTGGTGACACAAAGTGTCTTTTGAGTTTCTATCTCAAATGACCTGGTAGAGAGTTATTCCAACAGTTGTGTCAGGGTTGGGGGTGACCTGTTGATTCTGTTTTACTTGTAGAACTTCCATAATAGGATGTTGAAATGACTATTTGATATACAGATTTACAGTACATAGTAGAGGTCACAGCTCACTGACTAGACAGTCATTAAAACATGGGGATGGTCCTCAGATCCATGGAAATGCTCAGGCAGAGAGTACTAGGTGCAAGGATTTAAACAGGCCATGGGCAGAAATCTGGGGAACAACAAGAATAGTGACTACTGCTGTATATTTTATAGAGTATGTGTTTAATAAATACCTGTGAATAAGAGAATGAAAGTGCCATTAATTTGCCAAGACTTGAAAATGCAATCTTGAGATTCCATTAGAGATTCAACTTAAGTAGCCTTAAACTGCAGCCCAAGACAGTTCTGGTATCAAAAAATAGAAATCCAGTAGAAGGATTCGGTGTGTCACTAAAATCCCCTGTAAAAGATACTGACCCATCATACTTTTACCTTTCAGCAAAAGTCCAGACTTTTCAGGAGATGGTGTCCCCAAAGTGAAGGAGGGACAGTGTCCCAGCTCCACATCTTCACAACCTTGAGAAAGTCATCTTCATTTTGCTAGCAAGCAGCCAACTTTACTTATACATCCTCCTTTTACCGCTGACTGCACTTTCTGTACTCACCTGAATGAAGATATATTCATCCTGGACAACCAGAGAGCTGATGTCAATGGAGCGAGCAAAGGGCCCACTCCGAGTTGTCTCAGCACATTCCTGAATCCTGCAGGTGAGGTAGTGAGCATCTGAAACAGGAGGGTAGAGTGGTGCTTAGACACAAGGGGAACTGATGAGGGAGGTCCCTGTAGAACACTAAGCTTTACTCCCTGGGGAATCATTGAGGCAATTAAAACAACAGTGAGAGTTCACATTTCTGTCCACAACATTTATAATCATTACAAAAAATGGTAATATCTAGTTTAGGCATGAAAGTTGGTAAAGAGCAAATTGGCATAGCTTTTTTGATAAGACAGATCTGAAATATCTACCAGACTTTTCAATGTGCATACCTTGCACCAGCTATTCTAAGAACAGGCAAGGACAAATGTTCATTATGGCTTTGTTCATAGCAATGAAAAATAAGAAATAGGCTACATGTCTATGAATTAAGGATCATTTCAATAAATTAAGATACTTATGACAGAGTACTATGCTGCAATTAGAAGAATTGCTAGATATAGTTACATCAACATAATTTCTCCAAGATATACTGTTCTGTAACCTTTTAAAAATTACTTAGCATCATATATAGAATTTTTTTTAAAAACTTGTCTTTATAAATTTATAAGTTTGTGCCACACTGCCCAGGAAAAAGTTTAAAGGATACATAAAAATTAGCTATGATATTACTTTTGGAGAAAGGAATGGACTCCGGGAAGTAGATAGAGTTAGAGTGGGGGCTTTGTATATATATAATTTTTATGGCAAGAATGCATCTGCTTATTACTTGTATACAATTTATAAAACTTGAATAATTACTTGTAGAATCTTCTAAAGATCTCAACAGTGCCCTCCTCCCTTGTCTCAAGTAATTCAAAAAAGTGTATGGCAACACTTGTATCTGAATGAGAAATTTTGGGCTCTAAAAGGCATTCTGATTATGACTACAGGGTCATCCAAAAACAGGCAATTCCATAAAGAAGAACAAAATTATGGATGGACTTAGAGTGTATAATAGTGATCTCTCACAGAAACAAAGAACTGAATGTCACATGTTCTTACTCATAAGTGGACCTTGAACAGTTATCATAATTCTGTAAGAAAAGAATTGTCAGTAGTGGGAAATTGCTGGTGGGGTTGGGTGGGATTGGCAGCAGTGGGATTCTGCTGGGGGGGGCCTGCATAATGAACATTTGTATACTTAACCCTGAATTGTACCCCACATCTTTAAAATTAAAAATTAAGCTGGGCTCGGTGGCTCAGCCTGTAATCCCACACCTTTGGGAGGCTGAGGTGAGTGGATTGCCTGAGCCCGCGGGTTCGAGACCCGCCTGGGCAGCGAGACCGTATCTCTACAATAAATCAAAAAACCAGCCGGGCATGGTAGTGCATGCCTGTAATTTCAGTTACTCGGAAGGCTGAGGCGGAAGGATCGCCAGAGCCCAGAGGTCGAGGCTGCAGTGGCTGGGAGCAGCCACTGCACTCTAGTCTGGGTGACAGAGTGAGACTCCAACACACACACACACACACACACACACACACACACACACACACACACACACACAAATTAAAAATTAAAACAAAAATAGGGGAAATTGGGTGTGGGGTATATAGTAACTCTCTGTACTATCTTCTCAATTTTCCTGTAACTCTAAAACTATTCTAAAAAATAAAGTCTATTACTTAGAAAAAACTAAACAAAACAGGCAATCCATTCGGTTTTGTGCTCCTTACGGAAAAACTACAGGTAAATGAATCTTTGAGAAGAAACCACTGAATAATTTTGCTTAAAAGTGGTTATTATCCACTTAATACAATTTAAAAATGATATTCAAAATGAAAAGTAGGGATCACTTTAAGATTAAAAATGAAGAAATCTTTATGATCTAAAAGCATTTGCATTATTTCATATATTTATTTATGCAATTTTGGCCTTGTATATGTTCATATGTGGGCAGAGGTGCCAGAGGCTACAGTGGAGGGGATGGTAGCAGCAGAAGTAAATTAAAGCAAAAGGTTTAAAGATGAAAAAGTTTATAAGAATTGAGTCTAAACTAAGGGCACTTTAAATTTTCCCTGCTTATCATTTATTAAGTAATTGGCAGAAGGATTCAACAAGTATTTATTGCATACATAATACATTTGGGACATCGTTTGGGTACTAGAAATACTGTGACACATGAGACAGATTTTCTAATCTAAAATAATCTGCAGTCTAGGAGGGCACTTATATTATATATAGCTAGCTGATACACACATTGATTTATAAACATGATGCAATTTAACAAAGAAACATATTTTGATAGGAACTAAATTCCTTATGTACTGTACATTCTTACTTCTGAATGTCTGTATTTGAGCAATGTCTCTTTGCTGTGGTAGCCATAATCCAAATATGTTTGATAATTATTTCATTCTCTTTATCAGAAGTCTTATTATCTGCCCTGTAGCTCAAACCCCTAAACTCATCTTTCTTCTGCATCCCACACAGTCCAGCTGGTTCCCAAACCTTGACAATTCTGCCTCTGAAGTGATTCTCATATCCCTTCTCCCCATTACCTGTGTTACTTGCCTGGGATACTTTCTGGTTGTCTGTGTTCCTATTGCACTCATTTCACAACTAAGGTTCATGTGGATAATGAGTTGAACCTGAACAGACCCAAGGCAAGCAGTCAGCAGTCACCTCTAAAACCTAAGCCTGAGTTAATACCTCTCAGCACTAAAACCTCCAACAGTGCTGAGTGCTCCGGCAAAGCCTGAATATCTTTCTGTGATAAACAGAAGGTCTTTTACAACTATCCTAATAAACTTAAATGCCTGATGGGTCAGGCAAGTTATGTGTAAGAGTAAAATGAGCTGGGGTAAGGTGATAAATGGCGGCTGGTGCAAGGTCTCGGTGCTGGGGAACACAATCAAATGGCAAGCACTTGTCTCTTTTAGGAGGAACTGCATCTCAGTTCAGTTCAGCATTGACATGAAAGAATAAGACATTTTGAGTTTCTAAGTAAAGCTAAATTTCCCTATTTTTAAAACGTAAAATGTTCTAATTTTTAAAAATTGACAGCTAATTTAAATTTAAAATATGATACAGGCCAAACACTGTGATACAAAACAAAACAAGCCTATACTCCAAATGAGACCCGAGTCACTAATTTCTTTTCTTTTTTTTTTTTTCTCTTTTAATTTTTATTTTGAAATTGTAGGGTACAATTCAGGGTTATATATACAAATGTTCACTGTACAAGTACCCTTATTGATGAAGTGTGCCCCCATTCCCCAGGTGGATATCGACTACCGTCAATCCCAGTTAGGAACCCCCACTCCCCTCCCCGCAGTTTCCCGCTACTTTCAATCCCTTTCCTACAGTGATATGGTAGTTGTTCAAGGTCCACTTATGAGTCAGAACATGTGTTACTCATCTCTTTGTTTCTGTGAGAGATCACTCAGTATTATAAGCTCTAATTCCATCCACGTTGCTGCGAAGTTCATAATTTTGTTTTTCTTTATGGCTGTGTAAAATTCCATTGTGTATATGTACCACATTTTTTTATCCAGTCCTCTTTGGATGGGCAGCACAGTTGGTTCCATGTTCTTGCTATTGTGAACAATGCTACGATAAACATACGTGTGCACGTATATTTTTTATAGAGTGACTTGAGTTCTTTCAGGTATATTCCCAGTAGGGGGATTGCAGAATCATATGGAAGGTCAATTTTTAGGAGTTGTAGAAATCACCACACTGATTTCCACTGTACTAGTTTACATTCCCACCAAGAGTGTAGAAGTGTTCCCTTTTCACCACATCTTCTCCAGCATCTATTATTTTTTGAGTTATCAATGATGGTCATTCTGACCGGAGTTAGGTGGTATCTCAGTGTAGTTTTAATTTGCATCTCCTTTATGATTAGTGAGGCTGAACATTTTTTCATGTGTCTGTGAGCCACTCATTTCTTAACTCTGCTCTGTAAATTTGGTCTCCAGGAAAGAGACAGACTTTCTTATACACATTCTCTGACCCTATAGCAAGCCCAGCTTGCCCAGCATTACTTTAGTATAGCCTTCAGGTCCCATCCTCTTTGTGTTTGCTCACAGAGAAAACCAAGAGGAGCCTGACTTCCCACCTCTGGCTGAGGCAAGAGGGGAAGGCAGGGAGCCTAGGCTGTGCTTTGGAGCACATTGCCTGCCCATCAGGAACATTCTTGGACCCACACAACCTTAGTAATATACTTCTAGAGTAAAGCACCAAAACACAGTGGAAAGCTGCAGTAAGTACATGTAAAGAAACCACAGGTGTTGACATGACAATCTGCTTCCTTCTTACCAGCCACAGTCTCAGAAAGTTCCTTGCACCAGTAATCAAAGGTGCACACAGGGGGAATACCTGCTTATCCCCATACACGGGCTCATTTTCTCCTGGTTATCTATATTCACTCTCTCATTTGGACATTTTGGAAAAAAACGATCAATTGTATTCAAGGCCACCCCAAACAAAATCAAAGCCTACCTAAACCTTGGCCTGTGGCAGGTACAAGGTTGTTCCAAATTTACCCTGCTTCTTGGCTTTCTCTTGTTTGTCACTGCCCAGCATGGAACAGAGGGTCCAACTTAATAGGAAGCTAGCACTAAAATGAGTGTTTGAAAATCACTTAAAATTTGGGTGCCTTGCAGTCTTTAGCTGGACTTACATATTGGAAGTCTGGGTGCTTTCCCCCCACCAAAACATAAAGATGTAAGTGCTATGGTGTCTTTTGTCTGATGAAAATCCAAAGTCGGGGTAAGGGGTGTGGATGCCGAGAAACAAAATTATCAGGAGGCCTGACAGCCAAGCAGAAGTTACTAAGGGTCATGGGAGAACTGTGGATATCAAGGGTGAGCAAGGGATACAATTTGACCCAAACCTTACATTTGGAAAAGGTGTCAAATTCAAACTCATTTGGCCTCCAAATGAGGCCAATGTAGAGATTTTATGATGAAACTCACAAAGGTATTTCTGACATAACTAAAAATTCCAAAATAGGCTTCTATTAATTATAAATTAATGTGCATATTTTTAAAATAACAATAGATGCCAGATAAAATGGA